CAGTTAGTCGGTCAGACCCTTATGGTGCTGGGGATTAACAGATCCTACGACCGAGTAAGAGATTTGTAGCAGCATACCTGGAGTTCGCATTTCAATTAACGACATGATGTCCACTGTTTCCAGTGCTGTCCGTCTCAAATGGTACAGCCTTCTCAAACGTCAAGTTGGGTTATGTGTCAAGAACTTGTTTTTTTTTTTGCTTAACTGCAATTTTATAGTTCAAAAATGAGCTATTTGGTGTGAACCCCATGTTCTACATCCCACAGAAACCAGAATTTCCACTTGGGGATCTATAAAGTTATTCTCTTCTCTTCTACTCTATTCTATTCTATTCTATTCGTGCTTATTGCAGCATGTATTAGCATACTGGATAAAGCATGGTGGCGGCAGCATCATGCTATCAGTGTGTATCAGTCAACATGTGAAGAAACTTTCTGTAAATGGCTTTCGTTTGTGTGGCTTTAACAAAGATTAAAAATGGCGTAGTCCTCATGTATATTTCTTTATCTAAAGGAAAATTGTAGCTTTTTTTTAACCAATGAAACCTTTTTTTGTTTTTGTTTTGTTTAAATAAATGGTAAACAAATTCCTTGAGTAACTACAGAGTGAACTGAAGTTCTTGTATTGAAAATATATTTAAAATTCACATTGGATGAAGGTAACAAAGTGAGTTAACTGTCCGGATATAACTCTAGCTTTTGTTTTCTGTCTGCCTTTGACCGTAGTGTCTCTTGTAGTCTCCCAGCTGTGTTCAGATCATCAGTAACTGACAAAGGTTTACAGGTTTGGCTCGTACGCATCTGCGGCTCTGGCTTTTTTCCACTTAGTTTCTTTTCTTTCGGTGCTTGAATACCACAAGAACCACCTGAGGAGAACAGAGAATGATGACAGGGCAAGTTGACCACCACTGTTACATCAACAAGTGAACAGACCATTGCCTGCTCCTCTTCCTTCCTCTCATGTCTTTCCTTTTTTTTCTCTACCCTCTCCCATGTGGGTGAACTGCTGAAGGAGAGAGTTGTTATATTGCTAATTATGCAGATAGAGGCGCACACCGAGAGGAACATCCCAAAATGTGAATGAAAGCATGAAAGGAGCAGACACACACGGAGAGGAATAATGGAAAGACAGGGTGGAAGGAGAGCAAAAACACTGGGAGACATGAAAGTAGCCCAGAGTGCTTTTTTCAAATATTAATATTGCTTGGCCTACACCAGTGAAGGAAACTGTGCCACTGATCCATTCTCTGTAGTGAATAACTAAACGTGGCCTGGGGCCGTGTCATCATCGCCGACGCTCACCTGTTGTATCGGCGTGCTTCCTGTGGTACAGCTCAAAGAGCACAAGTGGTGACTGTAGGGCCTCTGGAGATCCATGAAGGTCTGCGCTGTGAAAATACCAGATGTTGTAGAATCCGTTACAGATACAGTGGTTCTCAGCAGCCTTTTTCTCAGTATGGTTTAGCTGTCTTTCAATTGGAGTATGAAAATCTGGGCAGTCTGTGATAACTGAATGCTTTTGTCATGGTGCTGAAAAGGTTTGCTTCACAACAGAGCGGTATCCTGGGTTCAAGGCGGTTTTGTTCCATCCATGGAGTTTGCTTGTGCATTCCTTATCCCCATTACCTTTCAGCTGCCTTCGTGGTGTGGTCGAAGGATGGAAATGTTGATGAGTCGGTCAGTCAAGCACTTTTGCTCAAACTGTAATATCTTAACCACTATTTTTTTGTGGATACAGCCGACTTAGGTATGCCTGACCTTGTATCTACCATGGCACTGTCTGACTGAGTTTGACACCTCACCTTTGGTCTTGAGTGTCATGTCTCAGATAGTCTGGCTTACTGAATGTGCACCACAGACATTTTTCTCCTCAACTACTGCTAATTGCGTGTCACCATTTTTAAAATCCCCTCTGCTACGGTAAACAACAACAACCACCTCTGAGCAGCAACCTACTACGGGAAAAATGTCTAGTTTTGCTAAAGATTTACCAGACCATGTGGAGAATAAGTCTGGCCTAGCCCGACTATATCTGAACAAACTATTCTACAAATTGGACAAAATGGACTGTTTGGGCACATTCATTGTCCTCAGAGAATGAATCCTACTAAAGTTGTTTATCCCACTCACCTACTTTCTGTGTTGGGGCACCAGTATTTCAAACTGTTAACCTGTTTAAAGTCACAGCTTACTCTTTCTGAAGTGGCATAAAACTGTGTGAAGACATTCATGGTTTCCAGATGATAAATCTTAATCACTTTGGTGATCCCCTGACATTTCATGTAGAGTGCCCCTTGTGTGGTTTTGGATAATGACTGAGTTTGTTGCACTTTGTTGTTGTTACACAAGATGATTTGTTACAACTTTGGTGATCCCCTGACTTTTTATTTAGCTCCCTCTACTGGTCAAACGTAAATGTGTCCAATGCTAAAAATTGACCAAATGCCAGCAAAATGAAACCCTGTGCATTGTGTTTGGGGCTACTGAGGTAATGTTACCATGCGTATATGCTAAATTATATTAGTGTCTGTGGGAAGCATTACATGCTAAACATTCGGTCATTATCCTCGTCTTGGTGAGCTTGTTTCTGAGCTGTTAGCTGGCTTTAGACTTCTATTCCAGGGAAGTAATGAACAGATCATCAAGAGAAAAATGACAGTACAGTACAATTCCATGATTTCAAGTCAAGTCAGTTTTATTTGTATAGCGCAGTTAACAACATATGGCATCTGACAGAGCTTTACATGGCAAGGTACACACCCTACATATTCATTGCACCATGATCAGTGGTACAATGTGAGGATTACTGCTTTCTAAGTATTTTCATTTGCCTTCATGGGTTATTGGATCTTCTCCTTAGATTTTGTACACAGCTACATATGCCCAAGGATGTATCATTTTACAAAAGCAAGTTCATTTGTCATCATTAGAAAACACTATGCGACAAAGTACTTTAATCTGCTATCTGCCTCCTCCTGTTTCTTTCTCTCGCTACTTCCTCCTACCACATGCTTGTCATTGTGGCATCTGTCTGACTGTGCAAACACATCAGAGTACAGAGTGTTGTAAAAACACGGCAACTCAAGAACACCGCAAGACTGAAACATCAACAAATGTGGTCGATTTAATTGTTGGGTCACCTTGGTTAATAAATTTGCATATAACTCTCTGAACCTCAAGCTGTTTTTGGGTATTGTTTGTTCCTGTCACATTTCTTAATATTTTTACTCACTGTGGACTCATCTTTCACTGCAATTAGAGTTATTTTGCATGAACAAATAAATGAAAATTTAATTTGTTAGACTATTTGTTCTACAAAATTTCTTTTGGATTTTACCAATTCTGGAAAAACTACTTTGTTTCCAGACCTGTCTCCTCTCTGGCTTGGCCTCTTGATTGCTGCAGGATTGCTAATGGATTCATATTCAAATATTTTTAACATTTTTATTTATTTTTTTGAAAGATAGCTTGCCTTTTAAATCTGTGTTAATGAGAATAATTGTTAGGACAGGCATTGTTTTTCTTCCTGTACACTGACCGCCCTGACAAGCATTGCCTCAACCCCATCCTCCCATTTTCTATACCTACATGAAATGCCCAGAGGGACACACATCCCACAATTTTATTCCACTCTGTGTTGAGCCAAAGTCACAGTCAAACTGGAATCAACTATCCACACAGAGGAGGAATATCTCCAGTTTTATGGAGTCGTAATGCGGTAGGGGTACTGTATAAATAATCTCTCCGCACAGAAACACTTCCAGCTGTTAAACAATATGCCCTTTGCAGTTTTTCCTTTTCCTCTCTTCTTTTGAATGTTTAAAGCTTCTTGCTTTGAAAGTGAATACAGAGCTTTTTTTTTTTTTTGTATTGAGAAATGATTTTGTTGAATATTTGCCTTTTGCAACACCTCCAGATTGTTGCACTTTATGCTGATTAGTATTGCAGTGGAGTTGGACCGTTGCCTGTATCAAATGCTGCTATTGAAAGTCAGGTCATAATGTGAAATTCTAAACTCGGGGTCTGTTTACAATTAGGCCCTTTGAAGCATTCCACTGTAATCTCTCCCTCCTTTTGATATAAAGATACAGTATTGATATAAATGAAGGGAATTTTGCCTTTGTTTTTAAAACCATACCTGTGGCTTTTGATTGATGGATGGAAACTGTACGGTAGATTGAGATAATAAAGACTTGTTTAAAACCTCACTCTGAGGTTATAGTTTCCCCATAGAGTTCAGGAGTATTTTGTATCAACACAGTCAGAAAGGCGAAACACAGTGTGGAAAAGCCTCCGTCCCACTGGGCAACCATGAAATGTTATTTGTGAACAAGGGATGATGAAGCAAATCCAGGGCTTTTTTCAGGGGCATCCTTGTTGCCTTCGGCCAGGCCGCAATGCTGGTCAGTGGACGGGGAGATGAGAGGGGAGTCCCTCTTCATCTGGTAAAGATCCTGCCATTGGGCAGCTTTCACGCTCTACTGCCTGATCCTTCCAGGAAGTGAGGGGGCTACAAGGAGCACCCCGCAGATCCTCAGCATGTAACACGACTGCATGCTGAGCCCATATCAAAGGGGGCAGTCTGTCCTTAGCCTGGGGGAGAGACAGTCTGCTGTTTGGGACCAGAGAGGCATGGGTAATAGGACAGCTTGTCACACTTGCCTGTATCTTTGACAGTGTATGTTTGCCTCTGTCCTGCTTGGGTTGTGAAGTAATGACACCATAAAATAAGCAGACTTTGTGCAAAGAGGTCACATTTATATTAATGATCTTGGCAGCGTCAGACAGGACCAACAAGTCATGTAGCTATCTTGGTTAAGTATGTTAGATTGCACAGATTTAAGCCTGCGGACAAACACAATGCTGCAGTGTTGGCTACTGTTTTGATATGGAAGCTTAAAGCTTGAGGGTTTGGGTTTTAAGGGTCATTTTAAACTGGAAAAGCCTGACTGACCTCTGTACAATCACTGATATACATGTTTTTTTGTGCTTGTGTTTCAGTTGGTAGGAAGTGAGTCCAGCCCATCAGATGAAGAGCCTTCAGTTCCGGAGCATTGCCCCTAAGGCCCCGGCTGTGGTGCCGTCCCCCTCCCCTGCGGTCCTGTCCTGCCAGCCTCCGTCTGCCCTCCCTGAGGCTACCACCGCCTCCAGCCCCAAGTCCATCATTGTGCCCACCCAAAACTATGCACTGATGCAAATAGCAGGTCAAGATGGCACATTCTCCCTGGTGGCACTGCCCCCTTCTGTCTCCTCTCAGACGCCACAACAACAAACCCATACTATCCAGAAAAACCTCAAGTTACCCATTCCCAGATACCAGCCAGTGAGGAGCAAGGGGACCACAGATAAGGTCAAATCTCCACCGCTAGCTGTCAGGGTGAAAACTGCCCCTAAGCTTTCTGTAACAGCGCAGACCAAGTCAGTGGTGAGTGGGGCATCAGCAGCAGTGAAGAAGAAACCGCAAGAGACCAAGCACACAAAGGAAACCCCTGGGCCCAAAGAGGAGCCCTCAGAGCAGGTAATTGTTATCGACCCAGCCTCCTCTGACATCTCAGTCACTGCTCTTCTACCAGACAATGCTGTCCTCTATCCGGGTTCTCAGTTGGAGCGAGTGCCAGATGGCTGTGAACGACCTTCTACAACTGGCCTTATTCAGAACCTCCAGTACCCCTCTGCTGCTGTTAAAAGCTCCCCAGGCAAATCCCCAGAGGAAAATACAACTACAGTGAGACTGTGCCAGTCAAAGCCAGCTGCAGCCCAGCCCCAGCCCCAGAGCAGTATTACTGTCCTATCCCCGGCAATCTTCAGTAAAGCGGTCCAGATTATCCCATCCCCACCTAAGGGGAAACTTCCCATCCTGCCCTACTCTAAAATGAAGAGCACCCTCATCCCAGCTGCCAAGCCCAACAATTTGTCCCCAGAGAAAAAAGGTTGCTCGGGCCAGACAGGACTCACCAGCCCCTTAGAAGCTACATCTAAGACTCTCGAGACAGCTGAAGCCTTGAGTCACAACCAGGTGCCAAACTCTACTTTACAGCCCCAAGCCAAGACCACACTCATGCCTGTTTTGGGAACCCACCAGAAACCACCTGGCAAGAAGAGAGGTAGGAAGAGAAAGACGATGGAAGACATCTTAGCGTTTGAGGCCCGAAAGAAGAGGTCCTTGTCTTTCTTCCGTAGAAGGGTTCCTGAGAAACCACCAGCCGTTGTTCCAGGTTCCAAACAAAAGGAAGTTGATATTTCAAAGAAATACCGCAGCATCCGACCCAAGCCCATGTTGGTTATGGAGACAGTTCCCCAACTGGTTAGTTTGCCTGCCATTACCCCAGATGGCCAAGAGCAGGAACTTATACTTGGTCGTCAGCTCCCCACCACTGCCACAACCAAGGCCCTGGACCAGCCAGCCCCCGTAACCCTCCACCTGAGAGGTGGCTCCCACTCAAGAGTGTTCATAGGAAGCCGTCCGCTCCACCGTTGCCCCACCTGCAGCCGCTGTTTCCAGTTCAAACATCACCTCCAGAGCCACATGAACAGCCACACCAACAGTCGGCCCTACATCTGTCCTGTGTGCCGCAAAGCATACGCTCACTCAGGCAGCCTGAGCACCCACATGAAGCTACACCACTCTGAGGTACGACCACGTCGGTCTCTGTGCTGTGAGTTCTGCGAGAAGGCCTTCGGATATGTCGGTGTGTATTTCAGTCACCTGAGAGAGGTCCACAAGGTGGTGCTGACCGTGGAGCCGTCGATCAGCCATCATGAGGATGACGTGTCTGTAGAAGGGTGAGATTATTATTGATTGTATGAGCTGTGTGAACTTACAACTTTTTACAAACAGTCATAACTTGTTAAGTATTATTCCTTGTTTTCCTCACCAGGCCGAACTCACCTGAGCCATCAGATGAACAGGATCGAGAAGATCCTGTGGAGTTGCAGATTAAATGTGGCCGCTGCCAGGCCATCACTCCCACCTTCGCCGACATGAAGATGCATTTGCTGTATGTGCACGGGGAGGAGGTCCACATTCGACTTCACGATGGCCAACCACTACGAGGGGGCCGTGAGGCTGAGAATGAGCTGGTGAAGCATGCTGCCCACTATTGGCGACAGCTAAACGAGAAACGTAACCTGGTGAAGTGTGGCAGCTGTGACGAGGAGTTCTTTTCCTTCTCCAAGCTTAAGAAGCACATCATGTCCCACCACCGTGGAAGGGAGGGTGAGGACAGCGGAATCCTCTCGTCACCAGAAAGCAGTGGAGGCCTCGGCGTCCTTGCTGCAGGCGCAGCCTTTAACTGTGTGCTTTGCAGCGAGGTGTTGGACACGAAGGAGGTGGTTCTGGAGCACTGGAGGAGTCACCACCACTGTGAGCAGCCCGGCCTTCTGTGGGACGCCCTGAGCTCCTACACCGGCCATGAAGAAGGTGAGGCAGACGGAGATCTGGACACTCCAGCTCCAAGCCCACACTAGCCAGCCTAGCCCTTGGATGGGCACGGAGCCCTTTACTGTGGCTCCTCCTCATATACACTCAGTCCTAACAATCAGCAGCACAGGGATAGAGAGTTTCTCTTATGTCTTTTAGCACTAGTTTCATCTTTCACCAGTTGAGACATTTAACTTGGTCCAAAAGAGAAAAGAAAGTAAAATAATGTCAAGCCAATGGTGTCAATTGATCTTTGTGTTAAAAGTCATAAGAGATATTCTCACTAGGTCAGAGAATCCAGTTTTATAAACAATATAATTTTTCATGTTACTTTGATTGCACTGTTTTGTTTTTGGATTTCATTTCGTTTGGAGGTATGTATTTAATATCCTGTTGGAAATTAGATGATTATTTTTTTCTACTGCTTATTTAAATGTTATAAAGGGTAATTTATAACCTAACTGACACAGTAAAACTGTTAAAGGGTCATTTCACCCTTTAGTCTATCTAGCCATGCAGGTAATTTGGTTTAATGTACTTGTTTTTGTAGATGAACTCCATAAAAAGTTTAAAAGTGCGTCGTGTGTGGATACAGTTACAGTGATGAAACATTCACCTTCAGCAGGTGGAGGCCAGAGCCTTGGTGACAGTGACTACTCGCAGGATTAGTGGTGAACTGCTGTAGCGACAAGTTAATTGTGAGCCACAATAGCTCTCAGAGCATCTCTCCATTTTTTCTCTCTACTGTACGACTCTTTATTCCTCGTTGCATTTTGTTCACCACTGTATGCAATTTCTTTGAACAAAAAGTAACTGACGAGTGAAAGTAAAGCTGTCTGATCTAATGAGCTCTGTTAGCTTAGCTTGGCCATTAGAGGAATAATATTTTCACTTTATTCTAAAGACGTATTTGTGCTATTGACATCTATTTAATTCTTGGTGCATCCAGGCGTTTTCTCTGTGGATTATCCAGAGGAATAAAATGGATAATTATTTATAGGGGCATTTTAAGCCTTGATTAAATAGTGTTAGTAGAGAGATGAGGTGCGACAAAGGCCCTCGGTCGCACAGATGGTAATTCAGTTTTTAAAACGTCGTTTTAAAATGCTGAGTGCCACAAACAAATTCCATTCACCTCCATTTATGTAAGGTGGTGTCAGAAATTACAAAGATGTCATCCTCAGTGAAACTACCAAATCTGCATGGCTAGATACCCCTACAGAGGCAGAGAACATGTTTAATTAGTTTGGACTGAATCTTGAAAATACTGAACATATAAGTATAAATGTTACTACAAGAGAACATCGTCTACGATCACAGAGGCTGACAATTGATCCATAGAACTTGGTATATTACAAGTTAAAATAAATTAGTATCTGTACAATCCTCTGATTAAATATTGCTCACATAACAGAAAATGTACATTTTCAGTTATGCTTTGAGCGTCCACCTCACAGTCTAATTAAGGGCAGTATCAGGGTCTTGTTTCAACTTGGACCCAATGAAGGAACACTTTTGTAACCAGCACCCAAGTGACATCCTTGTGGCCTTCTGAAAAAAAAAATAGGTGTTCATGCGTGATGTGGCTTATCATCAGTATGGTCCTCTGTAGGCCAGGTTCTCTCTTATTGACTTGTTGATTAATGCCTATATGTGTATTCTGTGATATGCCAAGGGTCTATTCACACTAGTGATTGTAGAAGTGAGGTTTGCATTTAAGCTTTCTAAAACCACTGACAGAATACCGTTTGTTGATTTAGTAAATACGCAAATAAAACCATTGAATTGCCTACCTGTTGTTGCCAGCTCATGTACGCACCTGTGGAATTGTGTGCACCCAGACTCTGACTAGAGTTCATATAAACTGTTGTCAAGTCCAGAAAAATATGCTATTTTATACTCTAGATTAATAAAGAGGTCTTTTAGTATATTTATGCTTGTGATTGGTCCTTAAAGAACCAGCACTGAGACATTTGTTACGTTTGCTTCTTCTGATTTCGAGGGATGCTTACTGTCTTGTTTCTTGGTTGGGAGGCCGTTACAAAATGGCAAGTAGCTCTGTTAACATTTGTCTGTGTTTATCTTTCATATGAAGAAGAGAAAAAAAAAAATCACAGGGTCAAGTGAATGTACCTGAATGTTTTAAAAAACCCTACCAAAAGTATATATATACTATATAGACTTATTCTATAGATAGAATGTATAGATATATTGAGAAAATATATATATATATTTACATAGAGTAACTAGTGAATCAGCTGCTTTGTTCTGTCACAGTGGAGGAGGACAACCAGATGCATATATCATTGCCAACACTGGCAACAAAAGCCATGTAGAGCTGTCCTTATGTGTCTGACACAAAACGCAGGACTGTGAATGAAGGACGAAGCACTGATGTGGCACTGAGTGAGGCAGCTTCAGCACACTCGAGGGTTGTTCCAGCTCAAATCATCGGGGGCCTTCCGCTCAACCATCTCTCATTTGCTTGAAGCTTTTTGTCATAAACTATGGGTATTTAAAATCCTGTCTGTGAACATTTTAGATTGCTATATCAAGTACTTTCCAAGATAATTATGTTTTTTGGGTTTTTTTTTTTTTTCAAACTGCCCGTTGACCCACTTTCAGCACATTTATTTGAACAAAGAAATTTGGGGCCATGTTTGAACAATGTCTCAGTAACTGTTAAAAATGAAGGCGTGACATTTTTACTGTTGGTTCTTATCATGTTATTGATTCCGAATCAGCAATATTGGACAAAGTAGGTCAAATAGCCTTTGGTGATCGGTGGGTGGACTATGAGACAGTCCTTCCACACAGTCCAAAAACCATGTTGAGGTTAATTGGTGATTCTAAATTGTCCGTAGGTGTGAATGTGAGTGTGCTTGGTTTCCCTGTGATAGACTGGTGACCTGTCCAGGGTGTCCCCTGCGTTCACTCTGAGTCAGCTGGGATAGACTCCAGCCCCCCATGACCCTAGTGAGGATTAAGCGGTGTGTAGATAGTGGATGGATGGAAATACTTGGGCACAAAAATTAAATTGACTTATTTTCATTGAACTTTCATAACCCTTTGAACAGGAATGACAAGTTGTGCCACAAAAACAAAAGTTCTGGTCGATAGATTGTTGTTCAAACATAGATTTCAGTGCATGCAGAAAGTGGGTCAACAGACTTATTTGTTGTTATCTTGGAAGCTATTGATTTCAAAGTATAATTTCACAAATAACTTTATAAACATCCATATTATGTTCTGTTAAAGTTTCAGGCGCATCAGAGCTGGTCGGGCAGAAACTGTTCTGTGATGATGTGAGCTGGACGGACCCGGAGTGTTCTGTTCACTGAGGTTTGAGTGTTCATCAGTGGGTTGTCCTTTGTTTTCAAGCCCTCAACACAAACCAGGAAGTGACAGAATTAAGGGTCAGTCTCTTCTTTCCTCAGCTACATGAGAAACAAACATGACTGTCAGCACAAGTCGGAAAGTGAAAAATCCCACATTAGGTGATATAATGTGTTTGGCTCACTTAATATGTTGACTGTGTCTAAAAAACAAGAAAAAGGGAAAAAAAAAAGACTGAAAGTGTTTGTGCTTGTGACTGTTTATGTACCTGAAGAACCTGATGTTTATGAGAATAAAGATATGCTTTGTTGAAGAGACTCTGATTGTAATGTTTCTGTGGGACGGGGGATTTTTAAAGTGTTCTGTGCTTTTTTACAATAACTATGAACACAAGTTTTTAAATTGTGAAAATTAGAAAATGTTTAGTTTGTAGAGGAATGAACATCCTGACATCAAGGTAAACAACAATGTAGGTATTAAGGCTATTTCACAGTTGCCTCATGTTGATTTTAGTTTTGAAGTAATGCAGATATTTGAGGTTAAATTGCACAACAAATTAAGATGATGCTAAAACCAACATTGTTATGTCAACTCAACCCAAACAGTTTATCTGCAAAAATGTTTATCTGCAAACTGCTTTTAATCAAGTGTTGGGAATAAGTCCCTTGAATTACTTTTCAGGGTGCATGCCAGCTAAATGTCCTCCACAGCCCACGTTGACGGAGCCATCTGATCCCCTCAGAGTCTGGGCCAAAGGTCACCCATCTGCAAGTCTCAGATATTGTAGGTCCACAGAAGATGGATAGCTCAGCTCAGAACTTCTACAGAGATAATCCTTAAAGATCCTTCTGGGCTTGTAGGAGAACATTCTGTGCACTGAATTAAAGATGCAGTCGACACTAAATGTAAAATCTTCTTTTATGTTGGATAGCAAGGCTGTCGGATTGTCAAGACGGAGGTCCAGATGCAAGGAGGGCTTGATGCTTGAAGGGTAAGTTGTCCGAAAAGCACTTTCTGGGCTATTTGGATATTAGTGATGAATATTCGGCGTGGTTGGGGGGGACCACTTCCACCCCGGGGGTGCGCTGCGCCGGGGTGGAAGTGTCCGGAGTGCACGGGCAGTACTTGGCTGCCGATGCCCGTTTAGTTAGCGGTCACAGTTCTGTTTTCACCATTGGCGACGGCAGTGGGGGAGTAGCAGTTATGCTCCACTGTTACCATCCGTGTTTACTTCAGCAAACACTGAGCACGCTCGCTGTGTGTGACGTCGTCGTGTCCTCTTCTGCGCATGCGGGACACTTTTGGGTCGTATGAAGTTCACACAGCAGATCACATACAAGTCGCATTTAATTGGAAATGTGAACGAACTCGCGAAAAAATCTGAATTGAGCATTAAGTCCTGCAGTCTGAACGTAGCCAATCTGTCGGATTGTTCAGTCAGATAATACGCTGTCATCCTTATTTGTGACATAAAATGTCATGTCGGAGTCAGAATCCAAGGCTGTCGGTATGCTACGGCTGATTTTTATGGGTTCCGTTCGTTTTTCCTAAAAACCTGTCGGATAGCAAGGTTTCAGTTTGTTAATGGTCGAATTATCGAGTCACGACTATAATTGAAATTTCAATTACCTGGCTAGAAATTCTTAAAATCCCATCTCCATAGGCCAGTATTTTGCATTTCAAAAGTGTCATTACAGGAAACAAGATCTCCTTCAGCACTGAAAGCTCATCGTCAGTGTTTGTGCAGGTTTCAAGTTTTAACATCAGACTTGTCCTGAACGTTGGATTGGACCAGAATTGTAACCTTTTCTCTACAATCCTAAGACGTATGTAAAGTTCTTTAGCGCTCTGGAGGGAAAGGACACTCAACTGGCCTGAATAAATCTAACATTTGGTGACTAGACAGTCACATGTTCTGTATTATTATGGGATGTTTGTAGCGTTAAAGATGCTAGGCTAGTGAGTGTTTTCAAGTTCATTTATAGAAACTCAACTGTTTGGTTTGTCCAGTTTAATTTGCAGGAGTTTGCAGTGGTGGAGTATTTAGATTTTTAACCTAAGTGAATGTACCAATACCCCAATTTAAAAATACTCAGATACAAGTTAAAGCCCTCTGTTCCATGCTTAATTAAAATTATGCATTATTAGTAAAATGTACTTAAAACATAAAAGTATTCATTATACACCAAAGAGGGCTCTGTCAGTGTTCTACAGTTGCACGTTATACTATTATAACTGATGCATTAACGTGCAAGCAGCATTTAAATAATTCATCTGACTGAGTAGAGCTGCTTTTACTCGTGTTATACACTGCCAGGTGGCTTCATTTACTGCATGACAGTTTCCTGTGTTTCGTATCTTTCATTTAATCCTGATAGGTTTTATTTATGTCCTAATCTGCTGTGAGGATAAATGTATTGGAGTAAAAACACAGCATTTTCCTTTGAAACAGAGCAGAACTGAAGTAGAAAGGAGCACAAAATCAAAAATACTCAATGAAAATACAAGTTACCTTTGAACTGTACTTCAGTAAAGGATTAGATCTGTTGAGTGACTTATCCCCACTGGGAGTTTGTGAAGGTTGCATGTTTCACACGCATCCATACATTTTCTATACGTCGTTTTATCCTCTGGAGGATCACGGGGGGCTGCAGCGTGTCCTAGCTGACACGGGGTGGAAGGATCAATTCATGATGAGCAAAAATGAATCAGAGAGTCAGTCCAAATAAACAGTCAGATATTTCAGCTGGTGCCAAACTGCACATACAGCGTTCTGAAGAGAAAGACTCCAACATCCACGGGAGGAAACATTCACCAAACACGTCTCTGAGTGGAACGAGACTTTAAACCTGATGAGCTGGAAACACCGCTGTGACAAGTGTTCATAGGTTTGATGTTTGAGATTTTCACTGTGTTGAAAGTTGAAAATGCAGATATCATTACCTTCTACTGATTGTATTGTTGTTGTTAGTGATAGATGGTTTCAGTCAATCAATCAATCAATCAAACACTATCTGTATTGTGCCTTTTGTACAGGTTTGTGCTGTGCAGGTGACTGATAAAAAGACGGATCAAATACAAACAGGAAGGCAATGAGACTGACGTACACAAGAAAAAAAAAGCTTTTTTGTTTTTTTTTAAAGTTAAAAATAAATACAGTCATCAGACGTTTACGGGATAAATAAGTAAGTAAGTAAGTAAGTAAGTGACTTGATAATCTGACACTAAATGTAAAATCTTCTTTTATGTCGGATAGCAAGGCTGTCGGATTGTCAAGACGGAGGTCGAGATACAAGGAGGGCTTGATGCTTGAAGGCTCATTTGTTGTTCATTATTGTTCATAGTTGTTATAATAACTAGTAGGGAGGAGGGGTACCTGTCGGAGCGCACCCCCGGGGTGGAAGTGGCCAGAACGCACAGGCAGTACTTGGCTGCCGATGTCAGTTTAGGATAGCAGTTCTGTTTCCACCAAAGGTGGCAGCACCGGGGAGTGGCAGATACACTCCACCGTTACCATCCGTGTTTACTTCCGTAAACACTGAGCACGCTCACTGTGTATGATGTCACTGTGTCCTCTTCTGCGCATGCAGTGGGTCGTATGAAGTTCACACAGCAGATCACATACAAGTCACATTTAATTGGAACAAACTCGCAAAAAAAACAGATTTCACAAAAAAAATCCAAATTGAGCATTAAGTCCTGCAGTCTGAATGTAGCCAATCTGTCGGATTGTTCAGTCAGATAATACGCCGCTATCGTTGTT